ACTGGAAAATGTTATGAATAACACTGAAACATTTTCTAATTAGTGCCAGAAGATAAGCTCCTCATAGGAAAGCACTCAAAATATGACTGGGGATGAGCTGCCTCCTCAAGGTAAAGCTGATATTTAAGACGTGGATGGAGTAAAGCTTCTGGGACCTCCATTTGCTGATGAGGCAGGACTCAAAATGGGAAGAAACAGCTGCAAACATCTATTAATAATCAGAATGTGGAATATACAAAGTATGAATTTAGGAAAATCATAAATTCTCAAAAATGAAAGGAATCTCATGAAGATTGACATCTTAAGCATTGGTAAGCTGAAGTGGACTGGCATTGGCCATTTTGAATCAATTATATAGTTTACTAAGCCAGGAATGACATATAGAAGAGCAATGGCATTGCATATATTGTCATAAGGAATGCTTTAAGATCTATTCTGCAATTAAAATGCTATTAGTGATAAGATAATATCTATATGTCTACAAGGAAGACCAGTTAATGCTAATATTATTCAAATTTATGCACCAATCACTAAAGCCAAAGATGAAGAAATTGAAGATGTTCACCAACCTCTGCAGACTGAAATTGGCCAGACTTGCAATCATTATGTATTGATTATTACAGGTGATTGTAATGCAAAAGTTGGAAACAAAGAACAATCATCAGTAGTTGGAAAATATGGCCTTGACAATAGAGATTGCATGATAGAATTTTGCAAAACCAATAATTTATTCATTGTAAATACATTTTTTCAACAACATAAATGGAGTCTATACATGTGAACCTTGCCAGATGGGATACACAGGAATCAGATTGACTACACCTGTGGAAAGAGTTGACGGAGAAGCTCAATATTGTCAGTAAAAAGAAGGTCAAGAACTGACTGTGGAACAAGTCTTCAATTGATCATATATGCAAGTTCAAGTTGAAACTGAAGGAAATTAAAGCAACTCCCCAAGAGCCAAAATATGACTTGGATAATATTGCACCTGAATTTAGAGACAATCTGAAGAACAGATTTGCTGCATTGAACACCAATGACTGTAAATCAGAAGAATTGTGGTATGACATCACGAACATCATACATGAAGAAAGCAAATGGTCATTTAAAAGACAGGAAAGGAAGAAAAGGTGAAAATGTATGTTAGAAGAGACTATGAAACTTGATTTTGAATGTAGAGTAGCTAAAGCAGATGGAAGAAATGACATGTAAAAGAGCTAAACAGATTTCAAAGGGTGACTCAAGAAGACAAAGTAAAGTATTATAATGAAATGTGCAAAGATCTGGAGTTAGAAAACCAAAAGAGAACAACATACTCAGCATTTCTGAAAGAACTGAAGAGAAACATTAAGCCTTGAGTTGCAATACTTAAATATTCTATGGGTAAAATATTGAATGATGCAGGGAACATCAAAAGAAGATTGAAGGACTTGAACTTGATGTTGGAAGACATTATGTTGAGTGAACTAAGTCAATCACAGAAGGACAAATATTGTATTAGTTCATTATTGTAAAAAGTCAAGGAAACTTTATATATGGAAGTAAACTTCCCTGTTGTTTACCAGGGGTGGGAGAGGAGAGAAGGGAGCACTGCAAAAAAAAAAAATAAATAAAATAAATAAATAAATAAATAAATAAAAGAAGATGGAAGGAATACACAAAGTCACTGTACCAAAAAGAATCATTCAGTTTTCAACTATTTCAGGAGGTAGCACATGATCAAGAACCAGTGGTACTGAGGGAAGATTCCCAAGCTACACTGAAGGAATTGGTGAAAAACAAGTCTCCAGGAATTGACAGAATACCAATTGAGATGTTTCAATAAATGGCTGCAGCACTGGAGACGCTTACTTGTTTATTCCAAGAAATTTGAAGACAGATACCTGGCCATTTGACTGGAAGAGATTGATATTTGTGCCTTTTTAGCTTCTCTAGGGCTGCTGTAACAGACATACCACAAATATTTGGGCTTAAACAAGGAGGGATTTATTCTCCTACAGTTTTGGAGGCTAGAAGTCTGAGTTCAAAGTGCCAGCTCCAGGGGCTGGGTGAAGTCCCTTCACCCTTGGGCTTAAGCTTTGCCTCCTACCCTTGGGCCATTGAATCTTGAGGCTTCTCTTAACTCAGGCAGCTGCTGACTGCTAGGTTGACAAACCCAGAGTCGACAACTAAAATGGCACAGTCACAAGATTATCAAGCAACACAGCAGGCCACTAGTTAAGCGGTCCCCAAATCAGCAGACAAAAGGGCAGACCACTGATGACTCAGCCAAATGTAGGACCCAGAAGTGCCAAGAAGCTAGAGACTTTTCTCAAAGCTTCTTCTTATATAGTGGAAGTAAACCATAGCCTTAAGGCAGCTACTCAGCTGCTTTCAATAGATTAGCCACAGAACTGATTAACAGTCTTATCATGAGGAATAGCTACATCCAGCTCCCTAGCTGCTAAAAACCAGGCCCAACCAAGTTGATATACAACTTTAACTACTTCAGTGCCCATTTCAAAAAAAGATGTTCCAACACAGAATGTAGATATTATTGAAAAAAAGCCATGAATATCACATGCAAGGAAAATTTTGCTGAAGATAATCCAAAAACAGTTGCAGCACTGTATTGACAAAGAACTTCCAGAAAGTCAAGCTGTAGTCACAAGCAGATGTAGAACAAGGGATAGCATTGCTGATATCAGATAGTTCTTAGCTGAAGGCAAAGAATACCAGAAATACGCTTATTTGTGTTTCATTGACCATGCAAAGACATTTGACTGTGGGAATCATAACTAATTATGGATAATACTGCAAAGAATGGGAATTCCAGGACACATAATTGTGTTCATGGGGAACCTGTACATAGACCAGGAGGCTGTCATTTAAACAGAACAAGAGAATACTGCATGGTTTAAAATCAGGAAGGGTGTGCATCAAGGTTATAACCATTCACCATATTCATTCAATCTTTATGCTGAACAAATAACCTGAGAAGCTGCACTATATGAATAAGAATGTGGTATCAGTATTGGAGGAAGATTCATTATAAAACCTATGATATGCATACAACATAACCTTGCTTGCTAAAAGTGAAGATGACTTGAAGCACTTACTGACAAAGACCATAGACTACAGTATTCAATACAGTTTACACTTCAACATAAAGAAAACAAAAATCCTCACAAACGGACCAATTAGCAACATCATGGTAATTGGAAAAAAGATTGAAGTTTTCAGAAATTTCATTTTACTTGGATGTGCAGTCAACATCCATGGAAGCAGCAGTCAGGAAATCAGACATCATATTGCACTTGGCAATTCTACTGCAAAAGACCTCTTTAAAGTCTTAAGAAGCAAAGATGTCCATTTGAAGACTAGGGTTATGCCTAACCCAAGCCATGATATTTTCGATAACCTCATGTACATGTGAAAATTGGAGAATGAATAAGAAGGACCAAAGAAGAGCTGACCCCTTCATATTATGGTGTTGTTGAAGAATACTAAAAATACCATAGAAAGCCAGAAGAACAAACAAATCTGTCTTGGAAGAAGTACAGCCATTATTGTCTTTGGAATCAAGAATGGCCAGACTTGTCTCATCTACTTTGGTCACCCCTGGAGAAGAATATTATGCTTGGTAGAGTGTCATTGAAAAATGGAAGACCATCAATGAGATGGATTGACATCATGGCTGCAATGATGGGCTCAAGTATAGCAATGATCATGAGGTGCATGACTGATCACTGTTTAGTTCTGTTGCACATAGGGTCACCATGAGTCAGAGCCAACTCAATCACATCTAGCAACAAAAACAACAATTTTCTTAATTGTTTATTGAATTAATATGGTTGTTAATTTTATATGGTTGTTGACACTAAACAGCACAATTCATTTTGTAACTTTAATCTTTATCTTTTTAGAAGACATTATTAAGGTAGTATTGAGTCTCTTGATGGAGCAGGCATGACTTTCTAATGCCAAGATATTTGAAGGGGATCAAGCCAAAGAAAATAATGTATATTCTAAAGGAATGATCAAAACCTTTTATGTAAAATTACCAAAAGAAAGAGAGAGAGAGAGAGAAAGATTTGTCATAATTTTCTTAAAAAAAAAAGAAAAAAAAAGCTTTTTGTCTCCTGAGTTTCAGAAAGGAAATACTCTATATGCTCAATGAAATAATGGAAAAGCTCTGAGGATTTATAAAATAAAATAGTCAGTTAATCACTAGCTAAAAAAATATCATTCAACTGAGTGAGAAAAAGTGAATGATATCTTCAAGATACTGTGACTCCATTCGAAGTCAACTATTCATAAAAATGAATTAAAATAGTTCATTGTTTTAAGTAGACTCATAACTACAGAAAGCTAAAAATAATATGACATTATCTGTGTTTCATCATCATTATAATCAAAGGTGGGAATTATATGTAAGAGAATATCTAAATGCCCTATCACCTACATATTTAAATAATTAATAATATACCACCTTGGAACTTACTTCCCATGTTTTCATTTATTCCCTTTGGTTTATAAGAAGTCAAAATTGAGTTTTGTCATTTATCCTATCCTCAAATTCAGTTAACAGTGAAATAAGACAGCATAAGGTAATTGATTTTTGTTCTTTGACTGGGGGTGAAATTCTTCCTGAATATGAACTCTTATAAAATTATATAACTTTAAAAACAGCTAGTACTCTTACCAGCCACTCCTCGTAAGGAAGGTTGGGCAATCCTACTTCCGTAGTGATATTGCCTCGGAAACCCAAGGAGGGGTCACTATGAGTCGGGGCTGACTCGACGGCACATAACAACAACAACAACAACAAAAGTACTCTTACATCTTCATTGGTTCTTCATTACCTTGTACTCTAATACTAATTTTTCTCCTTCATTTTATTCACTCCTATTTCCAATTTCTTCATGTTTCGGATGGATAGTTGAGGCAGATAAATAAACAGGAAAACCAAAGTGTCTGTCAACTCCTTGTACTGACTGTTCTATTCATGTTTCCCCCAGGCACAGAAGGAGCTGTGTTCAGGCACTCTGTAGAAACACCTCACATCAGAGCAGAACCTTCTCAAGACCTCAGGCAAGTTCTGGTTCCAGCACTTATGTCATTTTTTCAATTACTATTGATTGTCCTTGATATATAAGAATTGAAAAGGAGAATATGCCACATACTTCCCTAGCTACATGGTGAATACTCAAAAATTTGGATGGAAGCAAATAATATTAATCATTATTCTAAACTTCTGTAGACTTAATTACCCTAATATACATACAATCCACATTTGTCTGTCAGTTTGTCATACTGTGTGTTGCTATGATGCTAGAAGTGTATTTCAAATACTCTATGGTCAAACATGGTAGACAGGTTTCAGCAGAACTTTCAGCCTAAGACACACTAGGAGGAAGGACCTGGCCATCTACTTCTGAAAAAAAAAAAAAGGATGAAAACCTTATGGATAACAGCAGAATACTCTCTGATACAGTGTCTGAAGATAAGCCCCTCAGTATAGCAGAAATTCACAATGATGTGGATGGAGTAAAAATTTTGGGACCTTCATTAGCTGATGCAACACAACTTAAAGTGAAAACAACATGAGGAATGTATGAGGTAGGCACCAAGGAAAATTGTTGAGTTGGCCCCTACTCATAGCGACCCCACCATGGGTTTCTGAGGCAGTATCACTACAGAAGTAGATTGCCCAACCTTCCTTCCAACAAGGAAAATTAGAAGTTGTCAAAAATAAAAAGAAAACTTCTGGTATTGGCCATTGTGACTCAGACAGTCATATGGTCTACTATAACAGAAATGACAAACTGAAGAGGAATAGTGTCACATTTATCTTCACAAAAGAACATTTCAAGATTTACCTTGAAGTACAATGCTGCAGTGACAGCATAATATTGATACGCCTACAAGGAAGACCCAGCCCCAGGGTTACAGGTGAGGAGAGACAACTCAGGGATGCCCAAAGTACCAAGCGGGAAGAGCAGGAGAAAGGGGATTAAAACCCAGGAAGCCAGACAGAGGTACAGTCAGCCACAGGGACCCAGGTGGGGGGTGATATGAGAGGTCTCCAACAGCAAGACAAACTTGTCTGTTGGTTTGTCCTACTGTGGTGACATGTAGACGTGAGCTTTGAGACTGAGCCTCTGGTGTTTAAAACCCAGCGAGATGCACCTGGTGCACA